AGTGCAGGTAATACGCGAATTAGGTGAAGATAATTTACAAGTATAAATTAATGACATTTACATATTAATGGTGTATATACGTGACGTATATACGTGTATATACAATTTTTACAAGTAAAATTTATATAAAACTTACCTTTTTAAACAAAAAGGTAAAAAAAAGGCGCCAAGTACAAGCGCAATACGTATTGTGTTATTTTTAGAAATTTTAAACTCAAATTATTTTTTTAAGGCATATATGTGTACATAACATAAGTTTTTACAAGTAAAACTTATAACTATAATAAAACTCTACAACACTATTCTACTGTACAAAAGAAGTGATATATTAGAACAGTAGCGCCAATTGAGAAACCTAACATATATATATGATTATTGTATACTTAATATTTTTAGAAATCTCAAATTCTAATTATTTCCTTTTTTAAGATATATATTACATAATATAAGTTTTTACAAATAAAACTTATCAAATTATTTTTCTTTCAAGATATATATGTACATAAGCATTTAAAAGTAAAAATTATATAGTATTATAAAAATGTAACACGTTTATTAATAGTGTCCAATATTTAAAAAAGAATATCTTTTTAAAGGTTATTGTTATTCAAGAAAAACCTAGCTACAAAAAATGTCTATGGCATAAATTTTTACAAGTAAAATTTATCATTATTTATTAGAACACTGAGTTATATGGTTATTTTACTTGTTATTGTAACAAATTAATTATTATAACAATGCAATAAAAAATATTTAATACAAATAATCTTGGCGCGGCTGCACCAAAAACTATATCGGACTAAAATAATACATACATGACAGCATTTTTATTATAATAAAATATACTTATAAATTCCCTCTATACATATACGGTGTAATGTTCTATTTAAGTTTATATAGTATTATATTAAATTATAAACCTTCACTATAGAATATAGATATCGAATGTGAATATATTCTACATATTTTGATATTTTTTATTCAAAGATGTTATTCTTATTATAATCGACGAAATGTCAATGATATCTAATTTGACTTTTATGTACATACATCTTCGATATAGTTTTTGGTGCAGCCGCGCCAAGATTATTTGTATTAAATATTTTTTATTGCATTGTTATAATTAATTTGTTAGAATAACAAGTAAAATAACCATATAACTCAGTGTTCTAATAAATAATGATAAATTTTACTTGTAAAAATTTATGCCATAGACATTTTTTGTAGCTAGGTTTTTCTTGAATAACAATAACCTTTAAAAAGATATTCTTTTTTAAATATTGGACACTATTAATAAACGTGTTACATTTTTATAATACTATATAATTTTTACTTTTAAATGCTTATGTACATATATATCTTGAAAGAAAAATAATTTGATAAGTTTTATTTGTAAAAACTTATATTATGTAATATATATCTTAAAAAAGGAAATAATTAGAATTTGAGATTTCTAAAAATATTAAGTATACAATAATCATATATATATGTTAGGTTTCTCAATTGGCGCTACTGTTCTAATATATCACTTCTTTTGTACAGTAGAATAGTGTTGTAGAGTTTTATTATAGTTATAAGTTTTACTTGTAAAAACTTATGTTATGTACACATATATGCCTTAAAAAAATAATTTGAGTTTAAAATTTCTAAAAATAACACAATACGTATTGCGCTTGTACTTGGCGCCTTTTTTTTACCTTTTTGTTTAAAAAGGTAAGTTTTATATAAATTTTACTTGTAAAAATTGTATATACACGTATATACGTCACGTATATACACCATTAATATGTAAATGTCATTAATTTATACTTGTAAATTATCTTCACCTAATTCGCGTATTACCTGCACTACTTGCATTATAATTTTTATAACGATATAATTTTTACTTTTAAAAGTTTATGTACATATATTATAAAAACTTATGTTACGTATATATTATTTGAGAAACTACGTGGTACTAGTTGCCAAAATTGTACCATTTGTAGAGGTCTTGAAAAAAACAAATCTGCAAAAGATATTGTCGTACAAAAAATTATAGAATGTTACAAACAAATCAAGAATAATTTCCGATTAATCTTTATTCCATTTTTATTAAGTATTAGATGGTAAACTTAATTTCTGCCGTTTTTTCATCTCCAAAATTGATTTGTTTCGAAGGAAAGATGAATGAACCTTAATCAAAATAATTTCCTCCATTTTCTATAATTTTTTCATCTCTCCGGCAACAGGGCAATTCTACGACGGGAGAACGCGGTGTCTTTCGCGGTGATCTATTCATCCAACTATTTTTGGACTTTTTTGTAACTGGAGAAGTGTGTCCGTAAGTGCATATTGTATCGATCGGAATAGATGGTAATCCGACGGTGCCAAATCTGGAAAGTATGCTGGATGCGGGAAGATTTGCCATTCAAGCTCTAGAAGTATGTGCTTCACGCTTTTTGCAATGCGTCGAGCGTTATAATGCAAAAGAATGACTTTGCGTCAGTTGTTAGCTACGGATGATCCTTTTTGCATCAACTCAATCGGCATAATTACTGTTAGTAGCAATCAGTTGTAATAATTTAATTTGAACGCAACAGCTCGTATTGTAGCACATCCTCTTGGTCCCACCAAATGCAGAGCACGGTCTTATGCCCGTGAATATTCCTCTTCGGCGTTGAAGTGGATGGTTGGCCGGGATCCACTCATGATTTCCTCCACTTAGGATTGTCAAAATAAATCCATTTTTCGCTAGTCACAATACGCCATAACAAACTCTTTTTTCTTTGTCTGGCAAGCAAAGCAGTCGCGATAGACAAACAATTCAAAATAACATTTTCTGACAACTCATGTAGTAACGATATCTCTTCCTTATAAATTTTTCCCATAATATATAAGCATTTTAAGATGGTGATTGGAGTAATATTTACGCTTTCGACAACTCTAAAAGCGTTTGAGCTGGATTCTTATCTAGCAATTCTTGCAGCTCAATATCTTCAAATTTCTTCGGTTGTCCGAGACGTTCTTTGTCTCTCACGTCAAAATCACCGAAAGCGTTCAAACCAAACTCTATGTTCTTTCCAATGAAGTTTCATCACCATACACTTCGGACAATAAGCGTTTCGGTTGTGGTTTTCTTGAGTAGTGAAGAAGCACATGTCGGAAAAATAACTTATCGCAATCCGTTTTCAATCAATTGGAAAATCTCTTTGGCATCAAGAACCTGAACTGAATTACTTTCAGCAATATCTAAACTACAACAAACATGCGACTTCACCATCGAAACTCGCCAGCGTTAAAGCCGACATCCTCTAGTAACGAGCGGCAAGAATTAAGTTTACCACCTAATATTATAAAATTATAAAAAGATTAAAAACTGTAAATAAAACGAAATATGCAAGTTATAAAAAAAATAAAAACATGTCCAATATAGGTAACCTTTCCCTGTAATATACAGGCCGCTAAATTTCAAACGTAACAGGTAAAAAATCTCGAAAACTATGAAAGATATTAAAAAAAGTTAAAACACGTGTTCCATGATTTCGAAGGGGAAAGGGAATGGCATTATCAGTTTTTATTTGGAGGGCATTTTCAAGGTCAGTTGAAAGTCAATTTAATTTTTTTAAATAGAAAGCCCAATTTTTATTACATCTTCTTTTTCTACTAATTAATTTTAACAACTTTGGTCTGAAACATTTTTTTATTTGTCTAATATTTTTTTAAACATTTAAGGAAAAATTGGTAACTTTTTCAACATTTAACTTACGATATCTCGCTAATTATTCGTCGAAAGAAAAAATTGTATTAGACTTTTTTTACTTTATTTATTATCAAGAATATATTACTATAATAGTGCCCTAACTTTTGTTAACTTATTAACCTTTGGAAATTTCAAAATTATTAAATTAACAAAAATTAGGACACTATTATAGTAATATATTCTTGATAGTAAATAAAGCAAAAAAGTCTAATACTATCTTTTCTTTCGATGAATAGTTAGCGAGATATCGTAAGTTAAATGTTGAAAAAGTTACCAATTTTTCCTTAAATATTTAAAAAAATATTAGACAAATAAAAAAATGTTTCAGACCAAAGTTGTTAAAATTAATTAATAGAAAAAGATATAATAAAAAATTGGGCTTTCTATTTTAAAAAATTAAATTGACTTTCAACTGACCTTGAAAATGCTCTCCAAATAAAAACTGATAATGCCATTCTCTTTCCCCTTCGAAATCATGGAACACGTGTTTTAGCTTTTTTTAATATCTTTCATAGTTTTCGAGATTTTTTACCTGTTACGTTTGAAATTTAGCATCCTGTATATCTATTAAAAAAATATTTTCATTAAGATAAAAGATTTAGTTTATGTTTTTCTTAATATTTTCTATGTATCTTTTTTAGATGTACTTGTACTTAAATGTACTACTTTCATGTACACTGGGGAGCACTGTATCGTGCCGCATCAAGGGAAGTACTTCTCCTCCAGCGGTCCCCACCTACTATGCACTTTCTCTGCGCTTCCTTCCCTAGCGATCGGATCTTGGATCGCTAGAGAAGGAAGCGCGGAGAAAGTGCGCAGTAGATAGGAACCGCCGGAGGAGAAGTACTTCCCCTGACGGGGCACGATACGATGCTCCCCAGAGTACTTTGAGAAGAAATATCAGCTAGTATAATGAGAAATAGAGTAATCCAATAAGCAGCGAATGGCGTATAACATAAAATCGCGTTTTTCATGATCAGCCAATACTCACGGTTGTTGAGAGATTTTAAGAAATAAAACATTTTTGTTACAAGATAGAAACTATCTTTCTTTAAACATGCTTACAAAGTCTATTTTACTGCTACTCGTGAGAACTCATTCACTCATATATTATTTAATTCTATAATAACTATTGCGAAGTTTACAAAACAACAAAGAATTTTTCCGTTTTATCTGATCCGTTCTATGTATATTAAATTTTGTTTTTAATTGACAGACATTCTGTACATATACATTATAGTTATACATATTATGGTTATACCTTTGACTGGTGAATTATCATGATCTCTCTTTCTCAAGATACTTGGCCTAGGAGATGCGTTCGGTTTACTATGTGGTTCCTCATATCCTGGTTCAACTAATAACCTTACTGGTTGTACTGGGGTCTGTCGATATGGTGAATGATAGCCTAAAAAGAAAAATGTCTATTGATCTGCTCATCATCATTTCTAAATTATGTGTATTATAAGTATTATTAGAATTGGATAAAGAGATAAGTTGCTTTAATTTATTTAAATACGAATTTGATGCAATTTATTTCAAACACATATACAGGGTGATTCAAAACAATTTGCTGTCCTTGAAATAACATGTTTTTGAACGAATTCTAAAACGATTTTTCCTCATGCATAATGTTATCCAAAGTTTAGTTTTTAAATTATAAAAATAAATAATTTGCTTATCATGCGTCGAGTACAAGAGGTAAATACGGATGGCACAACTCATCATCAGACGCAGGCGTTTACGTTGAGCGCCTAATGTGTGCTTATTAATACACATAATAACATTGCATACATCATTTTTATAATTTCCGTCAGATTGCAACCGACAGCGAGAATATTAATCTCTGTTCTCTTTAACCCTTTGTACTCGGAGCCATATTGCACGTTACCTACCAATAGCTCGGTGGAACTTTTGTAGGAAAATGTACAAACAGGAATCGCGTCATATTAAATAGTATAGTTCCGAAACCGAATAATTTATTGTAATGATATTTGATTTATATCAATCTTTAGACATTGACGAACATATTTATAACAAAAAAAAAATCAAAATGTTATATCTTATATTTTCTAACGTGTGGAAACGTCTGAAACAGTCACCGATATACATTGCAGGTTCCTTGATACATGTACGAAATGTACTCACACACTTATCTTTTTTATACTAATGCTCGCTTTCTTCATGTGTTGGCATCAGAAAAGTGTTGATACTACTGTGAATGCATTTCACACGTTCTCCTTCTACATAACACCGGGTGATATTTGTTTACATATATCTCAGTATTCAAGGTGAGTGGTTATAAGTTTACAACCTAAAGTGTGAAGGTAGATTGGGTTAAGACAAACATAAAAGTCCCATACCGTTTTGCGAGATTCGCAATAATTATCGAGTTATTAATGACAGAAATCTGAGAAGTGGGAGCGTGCCGACATAGATGATTGGAGACAGTGGTATAAATAAAATTTGGAGGTGTTACCGGATGGTCGAAGGCCCCCCCATGCCTTGGGTTTTTTGCAGTATTATAAGTAAAAAAAAATTAGGTAAATTGTTTATTTTGCCATTTTGTTCATATACAAATAATAAATAAAATTTAACTATTCAATAAAATAATAATAATAATAAAAACTTTTTTATTTCTTTTTGAAATATATAAATATATGTACAAAGAAAGAACATTTCATATACACAAAAAGACCACTAAGCCTGTGTGTGGGAAAATTTCTTACACGAGATCAATTTTTGAACAATTGAGGCACATTACGCATTAAGGAATATTAAGCAATTAGAATATTAATAATACCACTACTAATACTAATAATAATACAAACTTAATTATAATAAACTCAGAAAACAAACAGCTTAAGATAAAGCAAAACAAAATTAAGAACAAAAAAAAAAAAATTTACAAACAACAAAATATCATAAGCAGTAAAACTAGATAAAAGGAACTAGTTGTTTAAGATTAAAATTATCACAAAAAAAGGGATTTAATAGTATTTAGTTTTTTTTTACAGAATTACATGTTTTTAAGTGCTTTTCAGTTTGACTTAAAAAGGTAGTTGTTAAAAAACTCATGTGTAATTCTAAAAACTATTTTAACAATTTTAACAATTCTAAAAACTATTTTAACAAAATAATTAGGTCTTCTTTAGCACCCTTCTATTCTTTTTTAACATAAACAATTTTGTAACCTTATTTAATAGCGAGTCTGTGACTCGATTCTTTTCTATAAATATAATAGATATTTCTGACAGGCGTGATTGTCCCATAGTACTACGTAGGTAATTTTTGGCGTGTGGACGACCATGTAGTCCGGAAGTTAATACAGCAACAACCAATCAATCAACAGAGTCCATCACGTCATGTCGAATCACTTGAAAAAATCCCCTCCCCACCAATTTTTTTAAGTAAGTTGGTAGTCGAATAACGGAATAATAATATGTATAAATTTATTAATATTCTTTCTCAATTTTATTTTCTATTTTTCTCGTTTGTATTGTCAAAGTTTACTTTCTAGTTTGGGAATGCTCGCGTAATCAAATATTTGATCTTCAAACGTTAAAACACTTCATTTTAATTTAATTATAATTTAATTTTATAAAACTTTATATATGATTCTGTATAATTAATTTAATATGATAATTAAACACTTCATTTGCTATTACGATCGCATTAATCTTTGCTACTTGGCGATCATATTAATCCATTCATGTCAGACAACATTGCTGTCAATGTTATCAATGTATTGCATTTTGCTGTGCAATCATATATATTTGTGTATGAGAGAAACGTATGTCGGCCTCGCAGATCCCTGTTGCATTCGATATGATCATTAATGAAAACTATAAAAATAATATGTTATTACGTGTATTGATAAACTTATCGGATTAGGCACTCAACGTAAATGCTTGCATTTGATGGTGAGTTGCATCATACCTGCCTATCTCCTGTATTCGACCCGTAATAAGTAAACTATTTATCTTCATAAACTCGAAAACTAAACTTCATATAACATTTTGCATAAGTAAAAATCATTTTAGAATTCGTTCAAGAACGAATTCTGTCATTCCATGAGAGCAAGTTGTTCTGAATCATCCTGTATAATGATACAATTACAGATAATCTTCTGAAAGATAAAAATATAAAGATTTACTTTAACAATTTTCTGACGAAATATATGATTTTGTTACTTATACATTAAAAAATACAGAAGATGAAGTAAAAAATAGGTTAATTTTGTTCAATATTGTATAACGAAAGATTAAATGTTTATTATTAGACATTTAAAGTATAGTACGATACGTATGACATGTCTACAAATATGTCATTAGTATTTTGGATTTTTATTAACTTTCGACACCCCAAAATAATTTATATCTTTGAAAAATATTTTTGATATTATGTTCATTACTGTATGTACAATTTAGAAAATGTTCCTGCATAAATATGTTGATTTAAGAATAAAAAATAATAAATGAATTTAGAATAAAGAAATAATAAAAATAAACTAATTGTCGACAAGATTGTAAATCTTAACATATGGAATAATTTATATAACTTAATAACTTTCTTTTCTTTCTATATACTCAAATAAGAAATATATTTTTCATCATTGTCCTATATTTTTATTATAGAATAAAGATGAAATACATAAATTGTTACATAAGTAAATACTTCTATAATTAATAAAACATTATAAATACACTTTATAATGGTTTAGTAATTTAAAGAATGTATCACATATGAATGTATACATCTTTTCTAAGTGGATTATAATCTGAGCATACAAATTTCAATCTAATTATTTCTCTCCCTTCTCCTTCCTCTCTCCTCTTTGTGTCAAATAATTTTTATTATAAAAAATATTATAAACTGTATACAGGGTGTCCCGTTTAACCTGACAAATCGTAATATCTGGAAAACTACATGTCGGATAAAAAAAAGTGGGTAATCAAATTTGTTCGTTTCGAAGGGGGACATCCAATGATATCAAACTCAACCCCCCACCCCACTCCCGGGGGGTGGGGGTGGGGGGCAACTTTGAAATCTTAAATGGGAACCCCCATTTTTTATTGCAGATTCGGATTTTATGCCACAAAATACGTAAGTTTCGTCCGAAACTTTTTTTTTTGATTCGTGATAGATGGCGCTGTAATCGCAAAAAATTCGATTTTCTGCAATTCTCCAGAAATGATCATTGGATTGAAAAATAAAGAAATAACTGTTCAATATTTTTAAAAATATTTTTCAAAAACATAATAACAGTTATTCCCCCCATCCCCTCGGGGTAAGGTGGGTGGTAACGTTCAAATCTCAAATGAGAACCCACATTTTTCATTGCAGAATTAGATTTTCATTGCAGACCTAAAACAAGAACCCCGATGGTAAAAGGCGAGGGGACTCACCTAAAACAAGCACCCCGATGGTGAGATACGAGGGAACTCACCTAAAACAAGCACCCCGATGGTGAGAGGCGAGGGGACTCACCTAAAACAAGCATCCCAATGGTGAGAGGCGAGGGGACTCACCTAAAACAAGCACCCCGAAGGGAACAGAAAGCTACTACGTCCTTGTCGTTGTTCCTGGGTAACGCTAAAAGTAGTTTCTCAGAAAAATTCAACGCTATCTATCATGAATGAAAAAAATTGTTTCCATAAAAACTTCACGTAAAATCTAATTCTGCAGTGAAAAATGTGGGTTCTCATTTGAGATTTGAACGTTACCACCCACCCTACCCCGAGGGGATGGGGGAGAATAACTGTTATTCTTTTTTAAAAACATTTTTAAAAATATTGAATAGGTATTTCTTTATTTTTCAATCCAATGATCATTTCTGGACAATTGCAGAAAATCTAATTTTTTGCGATTACAGTGCCATCTATCACGAATAAAAAAAAAGTTTCGGACGAAACTTACGTATTTTGTGGCGTAGAATCCGAATCTGGAGTAAAAAATAGGAGTTCTCATTTAAGATTTCAAAGTTGCCCCCCACCCCCACCCCCCGGAAGTGGAGTGGGAGGTCGAATTTGATACCATTGGATGTCCCCCTTCGAGACGAACAAATTTCATTACCCACTTTTTTTGATCCGACATGTAGTTTTCCAGATATTACGATTTGTCAGGTTAAATGGGACACCCTGTATAGACAAGAGCGCTTATTCGTTAAATTTAACACGCTCTCCTGCAAAAACTATTTGCCGGACACAATTTTGCTAAAGGAAAAAGTTGTTCGTTTTAGCATAAAGTATCATGTCCTGTACTCCGAATGCGGGAATTTCGGATCACCCTGTATACAGGGTGTCTCATTTTATTTTTGACAGTCAAATATCTCGAGAAATATGAAAGATATGGGAAAATATTTCAGACAAAAGCTGTATGGTTTCAAGGGGGATATAAAATAACTAT